AGTAACGCTAGCGTGTGCCGGCATTGTGAGCACGTGCCACGAAGCAGTGGTGTTGAAAAAAAAAGAGAAAAGAAATAGGGTGGCGGAAAGATCATTTAAATAGGGCAAAGTGCACGGCAGCAGCTCGATGTGCACACACATTAGGGGGCCAGGTGAACCCCGACGTTCCGTGAGAATGTTCCGTTCGTCTTGTTTCTCCTTCTTCTTGCCACTATGCGGCAGCTTCTTACGCCTCTTCACGGTTACTTTACTCGCGCAGTAGGTCAGAGGGTCGTTCATGTTATGTCGCGAACAGTGTTAAATATGCGCACACGATAAAGTACGACTCCATTCAGACTGAGCGTGTTCGAAAATTCATCGTACGGGTCGCTTCTCGATTGGCTTTTCTCACGATAATTCAGGCCGGGCGCGCATTGTACTTTTCCAAGATCGCTGTAGATGTACCATAATGTGTATACGGTACATTGCTACTTTAATTAGTATCGGAAAATGTCAAAATTATAATCTAATTTCTTGAAAAAAAATTTAATATTTTTATATAGAAAAAGTATATATAAAATATATTAAAGAAATTATATAAAATATTTTGTATATAAAGAAAAAGATATTATTAAACGAAGAATAAGAGATAAACATAAACATATCAATATATAAAAATTATACCCGACTTTTGAAAATGTGACTAATTCAATTATTCCGTACTTCGTACGTGTCATATGTCATCGGAAACAAGCCCTCGTTATTTCTCGTCATGAGCATCGAAATGGAACCGACATCGGGACAAATAAGCGACGTTCTCACGATTACCTTAATTATTGCGAATATCCTGTCTATGGTGTTGATCCTTATATATATACCTTCGGCTTTCTCGGAATATTTACACGCGAGCGAGTCGACGCGTGCGAACGAACATCATAAAGGGTAGTTGATATTTCGGGGGGTTGCAAGTTTGTGGTGGGAGATCACGATTTCATTGGCACGAGCCAAACGACTCGCGACATATGTTCACGGACAGCTGATGCACTTACTATAATAAGTCTTTCTCTCTCTTTCTCTCTCTCTCTTTCTCTGTCTCCGAGGCGGGCACGCGATCGCACGACCCCGTACGCGTGTGTGCATTACACATCACCGGAGAGAGAACCTGGGAAAGTAAAAACCTCGCGACTGCGAGAAGAGTGTGAGAAAATTCATACGCCGCCGCATCTGTGTCGGCTCTCGGCGTTGCAACAACGACAAGAACTTTGTTGGAGAACGCCGTTGCATCAACGTGCACTAATATAATCAATTCTGCTGCTGTCACGCGACTGTGCCACGAAAGTATTATATTATCAATCGCGATATTAACATATGTAAAACCGAAATCTGCTTTAACGCTAACTAATGCATAATAACACGTTTTCCAACTTGTTTCATGGAAATCAAAGTTCTAAATAATCATAAAATATTTTTAATAAATAATATTTATTTTCTCATATAATTAGAAAAATTGTACAGCTACAAAAATACTTTGCAATAAATTATTTCTTTATAAATACAGATAGATTGTTTAAATTATAAAGTATATATATAATAATATTATGCAGTATTTTGCTTTCATCTCGATACTATTGTATCGTCTTTCTCTCTCATTCTTTATGGTAATCTTCCAATCTATTTTTACCTACTTCAAATCGATTGCAATCGTTTCCTTCCTTCCGTTCATCGCGTTGTCTCGCATGCCACGTGCTACAGTGCAAACACGTGCGAAGTGTGCTGAGCACGTGATACAAAATCAATTCTATATTGTTTGTCAACACTCGAGACATATATACATATACACGTGCTCATTAATTGACTGACTGACAATAAGTGAATGACTAGTGTTCTATTAAGATTGTTCTTGAAATTATGTCGCTTTAATTCTGTTATATAATTATAATAATAATAAAATATGTATACAAATCTAATCGAATGCATCTAGTGATAAAAAATGACCAATAAATTAACGAAATAAAATATCATTGCAGAAATTCTAGTAAATATAAGACATAAAGTGTCATAAGTTTTCGAGAGTTTAGGAATCAAAATGTTAAAGTAGATATGCATATATACACTGTAAAAAACAGCAGTTTAATTGCTAATTAATTAAAATTCTATCAAAACTAAATAATTATTAAGACTCATATCAGATCATTTTTATGTCAAATAATTATACCTAAGTTTTATCTCTTAATATCACAATATAATATTATATATAAAAAATAAAATGTTATTTCAATAAATATTTGATTGTTTGATAAAGTAATAACATTTTACAACAAATCTAATTTCTTCGTGACAAATAAAGCTTACAAAAAAAATCCAAAAATCGCGATTACAAATTTTCATGTCATTTCTCAGAAATCATATTTAGTCCGCTTTCACTGAACACGTTTGGCTTTCGTGGTTACATCTACATCACACGTTTCAGTCAAGTTCCCGCAACATCACGTTAATTAGGTCCCACGAGATCGCGCGGAGACGAAAAGATTCGATCAAAGTTGCGAGAACGGGCGAGCGAGTGAGACAGAAAATGAGTTACGAGCAGCATTATCTCGCAATCGCGTCAGATGCTATCAAAATACCTCCACTTATTAACGACACATGCAATTGACTGATACACGAAGAAGAGTATCTCGAGAGAAAATAAAATAGAAAAAGTAGATAATGTGTAGAAGATTGAGAAAAAGGAGAGAAGAAGGGAGGACGAAGCAGGAAGTCTGATAAAAGAGTCGTGGTAGCAAAAAGAGATGTAACGAAGAAAAAGAACAGAATGACGAACAAGTAGAAGAGAAGATGCCGTAGGGGTCGCAGGAGAACGAGAGGGAGCTGGAGGCTCGAAACGAGCGTGCGTAATTATTCGGTGCGAACGACGTTTAAGTATCCGGCTTGGATCGCGAAATAAGAGAAGTAGTACAGGAGGACAGATGATGCGGAGGAAAAAGCGAGCGGATGAAGAGCGAAAAAAAAAAGGAAGAATTAACTAGCGAGGGGAAGAGACACACGAAATATAGCAGGGACAGAAGATGAAGAAGGAGAAAAAGGAATGGCCGTATAGGATATAATTCAGTCAATGGCTCCGAAATTAGTATCTTAAAGTGCATGGAAGAAATGTGCGCGAGCGCGTCCAAGATACTCGTTTTGCGCGATGACTATTCAAAGCTGGACGATTTTACGAGCAAAATTAAGATTGCGTCCAACGAAAATATCAATTTTCGCCGGCTGACGATATAAATTACGTTAATGAAGCATCTTGCACTTTCTGCGCTAGAATGTTTTAAATATCTGCGCGCGCCAAAAGACTTTTTACTTAATTCTTTGCAGTTATTATCAACGTACCCAATAATTATTCATAATCGAGGCATTACGGACAAATTTCAAGAAATCTACAAATAGTAATAATAATATAAGCGAAAGTGTGAAAAGAGAGAGATTTGGCTTTTTATATTGTATCTTTGTAATTAAAATCGTAATTTTTATTTTGCTATTAAAACTATTTTGCACATTTGTAAGCATAATATTGCACGACATTAATTACACGCATAATAATGTAAAATAAAAAAAATGTTTAAAGTTATGATTTTTATGTTTGTCTATAATTATCTTAATATTAATATCCAAATATCTATATAATATATTTTTCTATCTTGCTTATTTTCGATAGTTGAATAAGTCCATAGTGCGAACAATATTAAAATGCCATATTAACGAAAAATAAATGAGCTCTTCTCTCCTTATGTAAATCAGTTTTAAATTAACAATTTATATCCTATTATAAAATAATTATACGAGCAACACACACGTAAGGATAATTGTTTCCCAGCAGCTGTGCAATAGTTAATAGAATAAAGTGAGCGAGCTTTTTTTAAAAGAGAGTTATATCATGCAAGTTATTATATTAAAATTAATTCTCCGATCCCATGCATTCACCCGCTTTCATAACGCGATATTCGCAGAAACGCGCCTACTATATACTACTCAAAAACGAAAACAAAAGATCGCCTCAGGGGCAGAATTAATTAATCGCTCCGCCACTCGGTCGTTCAGAGGATCAATTTGTCATACGACCTTTTAGCAAAGAGTTTTATCGAGCTCGTCTGCTACTTCCTTTTCCGCGTTAATACGCGTAAAATAATCCATCAATCGCGCTACTGATGATCGCGGTGCATACCATTTAACAGTGTACAGAACGGAATACGTACATATGCCTATAAATTGATACAAGACACACACAATTCAACACTGTGTAGCCGGTGAGATTGCAATCACGAACCGGAGTTGCGCGCCGGACTTGTGCCCAGCACGCTTCTCATTCGGCGAAGCGGGAGGAGAACCAGAAAGCGAGATGAAGAGAGAAAAGAAACGGCGAGAGAAAGAGAGAAAGAAGAAAAAGGCGTAGATGCTCGATAAGAAGCTGCAGCACGAGCGTGGAAGCTGCGACTATGGTGGAAGGAGCCGTACCTTATAGATGGACGAGGACAGCTCGTCTATTTTGCCCCGAGACAAGGAGAGAAGAACCGAAGAAGTTGGTCGAGATCTAGTCCTTCCGTATGAGCGCTCGTGGAAATAAGCGCCAATAAACGACAAGGAGAGACAGAGAGGGTAGAATAGCGGAGGGAACGAGAGAAAAGTGCATGAAGGATGAGAGAGAGAAAGAGAGAGGGACGAGTGATTACGAGCCATGCATACCGTGGCACGACCACTCGTCGACGATTAGCCGAGGAGGTAGAGAGCATCGACTCCGCGCCACGACTAGGTGCAACAAGGACGCAGGAACGGTGACGATGGCTTGGTGTGGGCGCGTGTCTGGCAGCTGCCGCTTACAGGTGGTGTGCTTGCTTGGGAACCAACCTCTACGGACAGTTCCCACGGAAGGCCTGTTCCCCACTATGCGGCCCAGCTCGTTCCCTCGCCCCGTCCATGCGGGGCCGCATGCCTATATAAGTCGCAGCCTCGCCCGACCGCGACTACAATCACGCTCTGTTCGTGTTCACTCGAAGGTCGAGCCGAAGGCTTACGTGTTATCCGCACGTTTCCTTCCGCCAACCGTATAAGTGACTCGCAATCGCAGCGACGAACAAGGTTTTCACGAATCGGTGTGATAACACGACGAGATCGCGTTCGCGATAAATCAGTTATCGAGTGAAGTTTTTTCAATTGTGCCGCAAGAGCCTAAATAAAGGATTAATCATGCAGATGCACGAGCAAATTATCATGACTGACGGGCAGGAACAGCCGATTTCTAGGACGTATCAGTATCGAAAGGTAAGTGTCACCTTGACATCTTAACTATACCTGTCGCTCTAATCGCGCCGCGTATTTACATTATTACATTTAACAATGAATTCGTCGTCATGAATTGGTTCCGCGCGTACAATCGTGTATTATATTAAAATGAACCGTAACTGGTGACTATAGCGATTCGTTCGTTTCGATTCGCAGGTGATGAAACCGATGCTGGAGCGCAAACGTAGAGCGCGCATCAACCGTTGCCTGGACGAGCTGAAGGACCTGATGGTGACCGCGCTGGCCGGCGACGGCGAGAACGTGGCGAAGCTGGAGAAGGCTGATATCCTGGAGCTGACGGTGCGTCACCTGCACAAGCTCCAACGTCAGCAGCGTCTCTCGGCAAATCCGGTGATCGACGCGGACCGCTTTCGCGCCGGCTACACGCATTGCGCCAACGAAGTCAGCCGCTGCCTGGCCGCTACCCCTGGTGTGACGTCGCCCTGGGTACCAAGCTGATGACGCATCTCGGCCACAAGCTCAACTCCATGGACAAGACCGGGCCTTTGACCATCCACGTGACCGCGCCACAATCCTCGCCGTCGCCCTCCAGCGAGCTCAGTTCGGACGAGTACTCGATGCCGTTGACACCGGCTTCCAGCCAACCATCCCCGGTGCGAACCGACATCGACACCGTCTCTCATCAGGGTCTCCTACAGGTGGCCAAGCCGAACGAGCCCATTTGGCGACCGTGGTAAATTTTTGTCCGGCCAATCGACCTCGAAACCGGAGAAAGAGAAGACCGATGTCGGTCTTGCAATTTCGTTTGTGATCTGAACGGAATGAAAAAGCCGCGAGGAAAGAAGAAGAGAGTCTCTACTCGCGTGGGATACAAGAAGACACGCTTAGGCTTAAGGAGTTCCATTTGCTCAAAAGACGCTCAGCGGACGTCATGTTCTCTGGCATTCTGATAATTCGCCGCAAACATCTCGATAACATCGTTCCGCAAGAGTTTCGGAGAAGCACTGGGATCTCGATACGTAGTTTTCTTTCGCGGCCGCGCGCGGCTGAAGCTTTAATTTACTCGACAGTTAGATATTTTCTATTGTTTATTTCATACTTTTATCGAGGATGTTTTTCTTTTTTTATTTTCTCGCCGATTTAACGTTGTTGTACGGAGTCTCTCCATCGGTCAAGAAATCGGAGATGTGGGACAACAACGCGACGAATGATCTCTCGAGCGAGGATTCGATAGCGCGGATTATTACATGTAATGAAAATGACCGAGCGGAGGATCTTGTGATAGAGAAACGTGTACCTGTGATATTTACTGTAGTAGGCGTAGAGAATGATACTAGATTTTTAATAAACATGTTTCATATCTCAGCATAAAATGCGTATCTGCATGATTATTGCCCACCCAAATGATATAAATTGTGATCGATATAAAACTCTGAATAAAAGAATATTGTTTCTTTTCTTCCTTCAAATAACATATTCTTGTGCGTATAGTGTTTTATAAATTTTTCCAATATAAGTAAGAAGAAAATTATATTATTTAAGTTAATCCATATTATATATTATCATAAATTATTTAAATATGCGAAATATGTTAGCTTCTTAAAGTGATTTATAAGATAAAATTTAAATATTTTATGTACGAGTTGTTAACCTTCAAAGAACTATCAAGGACTATAGTTTTTATTAAGGATAATCAGAATTTTCATGATCAATTCGATGATCGATAAAATAAATTTGTCAATAAACATGGTCAGGAAAATATTATCGCTTTTCCTGAGAAAATTCGCACACATGCGCTTTAGATGTATGCAGTTGTTTCAGAGAAACAAGGTTGTTTTATGCGACTAAAATTAAAAAAAAATAAGCAAATAGTCAAAAATACACTCACCCTAATGCAACTTCCGGGAATTCGTACGATTCATTCCTTTCCTGCCGACCTGCACACACATATACACATATTGCATTAGTGATTTCTGTAGAAAATATTAATTGAAAATTATAGAGCTGTGGCTTATTTATTTTTATATTTTCATGCTAATATTTGCGCGCTGCGTAAAATTGTTTTGCGACATACCAATCATTGCATTCAGACACACAAATTTATCGCGATAAAACAGAGTTCTTATGATAAGAGTAAAAAATTATATTTTTGACAGTATGTTTCTTTATTTTTTAAATTTCTCGCGGCATGTTAGGACTCGTAAAAATACGTTCAATGCGAAAATTTTACCGTCACACATGCTCCACTTTCGATATACTCTTGTATTTATCATTATTTTTAGCAATTCCTAATTCCACGTTTATCTCGCTTCAGCGCGTCCGCGTGCTACATTCCGTTAAGACAGTAAATGTCACGTTAAAAATAGTTTTTCCGGTACGAAAGGATTAATCAAACGGGAATGTAATGCATTGTTTCGTGGCACGCTTCATTAGCTGCGACTCGCAAAATTTACAATTTGCAAATGTATCGATATCGACGTAGTAATACGCGATTTGGAAACAAGGAGTTTGTTTGAATGCTGCGATCGTGAAAAATCGAATTGCAAATTTGTAGCGGACAATAAAAATATTATCGGACGGCGTGTCGTGTTCATCAATTAATTCACAAGTGTCACATCAATTAATCAACAAGTGATGATTCTACATTTTTGTAGAAACTGCGCCACACACCCATACACATAAAAACAGTCGTGTCAAAAATGATAGCCCCTTTTTTATATTTACATTAAATTATCATAAAAGCATCTGAGTTTAATGATTTGAAGACACACATGAAGATGTCTCTATGCAAAAATTGTACGAGTCATATAAATAACTGATTTAAAAATATATATTTCTATTAAATGAATTATAATTATATCATTTTATATAAATTATATTATATTATTCTAACATGAATTATACATAAAATTGTATACAATCTAAAATTATTCTTGAAATATCTGCTTTAAAATATGTATGTATGCATGTATATGTGAAAAAAGCTCTGCAACTCGAATCTCAGATCGTAATCGCGAGTCGGAATCTGAAATATGATCGTGGAATTTGAAACTTCCGTGTGATATGGCAGTCAATCGCAATCCTGGCCGTATCAACGGAAGTTTTGAAATATCTCGTGATTCAATCTTATATTTTATAACATGCGATTACATACACTCTCTCTCTTTCTCTTTCTCGTTTGTCTGATTGTAATAGTTATTTGCGAACTCCAGGAAGCACAGAAATGCATACGATTAAGCGCTCTTAATTCTCTCCTATCTCTAGTTCTCCATAATGCGATTCTCAAATGCAAAAGTCGAACTTAGAAATACCTGATGCGAATCTCTCCTTGATATTTCTCGATTTCGCTCGCAATCAACAACGACCTTTGACACACAAAAATGCGCCATTGCGCGCGCGCGTCGAAATTTGCGCGGGTAACCTCGAAAACGCGGCAGGCGAAGCAAAACAAGCCGAACGAAAAATTATGCGAGTAATCCTGACACGTACAAAAAAATGACATTAACGTTGAAATTCCGGTGGAATCGAAATGATGTCGCGATGATCCCAGTCGTTCCGATCGTCCCGTAGATATTACGCGCATCGCGCGACCAACGATCCGATTTCACCGAGACGTGTCGTCGTTCGCGGCGAGATTAAGGTTAGCGTCACCGGGGATCGCGAATGCGAATCGACGTCCCGATTATCGATCCCCGTTACCGCTCGGCGAAATCGCGCGCCCGAATTCGTCCCTACGACATCTCGGGTAACGCGCGACGACCGTGAACGGCCGATTCGATCGATTGTCCGCGAGAAACGGCAGTCAAGGTTAAGTGCCGATCCCGAAGGACTCTTATGGTAGAAGAGCGTCGGCGAGACTCACATACTGGCGTTGCAAAAAAGAGGCGTCACTCGTTCCGCCTCCGTGAACTCGCCAGGTACGACCGGGTACTCGACGCACGAACCAGATGATCCCCCGGGATGTCAGTCAACACGGACACTCCGGAAAGAGCGAAAGCACTCGACACTTCGATATTATACTCACTTTTTCGATAAGCGAACCGCCACTCAGCTGTGCACGTGCTGTCACCACAGGTGTACGACCACGCTTCGCCGTCATCTTGCGTCATTTCGACGAAACTATTATCGCGCCGCGTCGATAATATCGGATTAAGAAGAACGCGGTAGGTAATGTAGAATTCTGTCCCGCGAATGGTACAATGTGTTCTCGTATATAGTAATCGACGAACAATGATAGAAATATCTAATATAATATAGTACATGTATAATATAATATGTAATAAAATATACAAAGGTTTTTAATATATATAAAATAATGATAATAATATAATTTATTATATTATATTATACAAATAATAGATATATTATATTGTTATATATATTAATTATATAATATAAAATAATATTCTACTAATATATAATATATATCAAGACTTTTTCAAGGAGAGATTCTTTTAAATTCATACATTTCATATTCGATTTTTTATAATACTCAAGGAGAGCTCCGTCTTTAAAATAAATAAATCATTTTTACCATGTAATTGTTCTGCCGTTGCCCGATACCACCCTGGGCCTCCTCCTCCTCTCAGAGAACTTGCACATCACTCGCACTTGCACTCGCGTTATTTTTTCGTTCGCGACGCCCGGGTTTTAATTATCATATTTTCGACGCGTTTCGCTAAAACGCGAGATTCGCGGGAGCTTATTTGCACGCGAATAGAACCGATGCTCCGTTTTCGCGACGCCGCTTTTCTCAAGGTCACTTCTCGAAGGGCCTTATTTTATAATCGAACGCGGCGACTTCCTCCGCGACGCACTCAGGAGTCGCCAATATTCCAAAATTAACTATTCCCTTGTGTATCCTGTTTGTTCCCTTATGTATCCTGCAAAATATAAATACATCGAAATTATATGATGATATTTAAAATAATTAATTCGAAAAATAAAATTTATTTATATCGAGAATATTTAATTAATAATAAATCAATTAATTTACCATAGAGTTGCTCCACCGTTGCCTGATGCCACCCTGGGCCTCCTCCTCCTCTCAGAGAAGCTTCGAAACCTCGAAACTCACTGTGACGTCACGCGTAGTTTCGGAGACACGAAAGATACTGTGACGAGAAAAAATTTTGTTATGCGAGATTCGCGGCCAACGAGATCAATCTCGCTCCTGCGATCACGATCAAGATGTCAGGACACGCGACGCGGTCAGATTTATACGATAATTAACGAGGGGAGATGCTAATTAATATTAATATACGTACTTTCACGGACCGGCCGCGCAAACTTGTCCCGTACAACTCGGAAGTGCAGCTAAAATGGCCGCGTTCTAGATTGTGTTCAAAAATATGTTCACCAAGGGTGAAGCTCTGTTTGACCAATCAGGACGAAGAGATCCTCGATCTCTGATTGGTCGATCGAATTTTGCACTTTGATGGACAGTTTTCCGAACGCGACTCTAATGTTCCTTTCGACCGCCAGAGGGCGACACTGATACCGTGTAACCACAAAAGTCTGCATCCGCATCAGTCTTGCGTGAGACATGCAGTGTGGTGGATGAGTAGAAGATCGGACACATGAATCTGAAATACAATAGAAAAGCAGTATTTTAATCGAAAAATTGATGTAGGAAATCTTAAGGCTCGTCTACATATATGCAGTAAGCAATTCAGAGTAAAGACCCATTTCGTACTGCTTATTAAATATTGAATCAATTGCATAATTAATTAATATATTTTATATATGTATTGTAATAATAATTTTAATGCCTGCATTGTAATTTTGCACATACACATCTTTTTTTAACATTTTTATTATTCGACGGACCATTCCATTAATTTATACTTCTATATTTTTAAACGCGTTCTTTTATTTTTGCTCATTAGCAGTGACAATTATTTTGTTCAAAATTATTTACATAAATTTTAAAAATATTTCTTATAGTTTTTGCAGGCCGTTTTATTAATGTTTTCTCATATTTCTAAATGTTCTTTTTTTTAAGTTTTCATACATTATAGCGATAAGTATTCTTTAGAATTTTAAGGTTACTATTTAGAAACTTTAATGTTAGGTTATGATTATTTCTATCAAAAATATGATTTTTTTTGTCAAAAATACTAATAACGCATTAATTTGTTAATTAAATTGCAAAATAATAATATGTTATAATTAAATTATTATTTTTATTAATTTAATTAGCAAATTAATGCTTTAATCAGCTAATTCCTGTCAAAAATATTAACCGAATTTTAATTATTATAAACATTCTTATAAACATTCTTAATTATTATAAACACATTATTACAATATATTATTATTTTGAATTTTTATAACATTTTTAAAATTTAATTATCAAATTAATATTTTAATCAGCTGACTTCTGTCGAAAATATTAATCGAGGATAAAGTATTATATTTATTTGAGATAACAAAATGAATTTCTTCTAGTTCTTTTATTAGGCCGTATAAAGTGCATTGATCGCTTTTATTTGGTTTCTATGTCAACCATTCGTGCTGTACGAATATATAGTTCATATTTGTAAGGCTGCAGGCTACAGTTTCTCTGCAGAACTCAAGCTAGTTATATCAACAAAAACTTTGTTTTCTGTACAGCAGTTGTATAATTTTTCCCTTTTAAAATGGTCCGAAAAAAAATACATTGTCCAGAAATGCGGACGACGTATCTCTTGAAACCTGGACACATAATCGAGAATATCAGAGTGAGTGTTTCCATATTTTCCAAATAAATTTTCTGAACCTCATAAACATCAAATTTTTTGCGCTTTATTTTAAGAAATATCGTGTCTTTTTACAGCCATCTGAAAGAACTAGGGCGTTAATAATGACGAAGAACGCTTTTCAACGTTTCATGGATTATACTACAGAAGATGATAGAATAATAGAACAACAAAAAAAGGAAGCTGCAAAAATAGCAGGACTAAAGAAAATAACTTATGAAAAAAGTAAAGCATGGGACAGTAAAATAGAAGTACGTTTGATATATTTTCAATTTTTACAATACAATGTGTTCTAATCAAATAACAAAAATATTTAATTTAAAAATATATATTTTAAGATGTACTTCACTTGCACTTTCAAAACTTGTAATGAAAAGAATCAGAGTGAAATATCTTGCACTTCAAAGCAAAAATAATGTCCAAGCAAAGTACATCTTAAAAAATATATAAATAAAGTTTATTATATATTTTTTTCTCTTCAAATTCTTATTATATATACATATATAACGTTATTAAAACGAAAATTGAAACTTGAACATTGAAAAAATTTACAGAATATTAAGGCAAAGCAGAGAGAAGAGTTATTGTCAAAAGAAAAAAAGCTGAGGAAGAAAGAAAGATGTTCGTAAAGGAAATGGCGGAAAAAAAGCAGCAGAGCGCGCAGAAGTGGTACAGCAAGCAAGGAAATTGCTTCAGCAAAAAAAACCTTTGTGCCGGCGAATTAATCGCGCTCTTTTCGCCTCTGAGGTATCTTTTTGCGAAATAAATATTCACATAATTTCTTATCGTTAATAAAATTCTAATTATTCATGATCTCATCAGTGTCTTAGAGAACTGGATGCCCAAGTAACATTTCAGAAGACAATTAGGATGATGGACAAAGAACAGGATGTTGAATATGCTAATTCAATTAAGACAAATGTCGCGAAATATGAAGAACAGAAAAAGCAAGAAGAAAAGGAGCGAGCAAGAAAGACAGAAGATTACAAAATGGAATTGAAGAAACAGTAAAGATTAATGTTAATAATAATATTAATATGAAAATGTATGAGAATATTTGATGATTTTTAATTATTTATCGAAATTATTTGAAATATTTCTAGGAATATTAATAATAGTATATCTGTATAATTATTATAGAATATCAGAGAGTCAAAGAGAAAAAGATGGATATATATACATATATTTTTAATATATATTATACTGTGTCACACACATTAATTATTATTAGATTAATTATAAATTAGGATTGAGGAAAATGAACGAGAAAATAAATTCAAAGCAATGGAGGAGCTAAAAGCTGAAAAACAATATCAAAAAAATATGATCCAAAATATGCAACTCATAAAAGAGAAAGAAATGCAAGACGTACGTTTTGATATTTATTGTAAACATTGTTTTATGTTTTCCAGAACATTTAATATATGTAATCATATATTTTATTTATAGATATTAAACAAAAAGAAGAAACTTCAGCAATTTTTCAAGGAAGCGATAGAGAAAAAGAAACAATTTGAACTGGAATTGAAGCGCAACGAAGAATTCGAGGATCAAGCATTGGAAGTCTATCGAAAAGCTAAAGATCAAATACAAAATATTCATAAATCAATAATGTTGAAAGAAAAAAAAGAGAAACAGCATCAAGCACAAATTATAAGTCAGATAATATTTTTAAAACAAATTCGATACAAAATTAAAACAAATTCGTGATAACTGTTAATTAATAATATAATTCTTTTTCAGCGGAAAATTATGAATCAACCGAACCAATTCGCAAAATTAAAGAGCGAGAAATCTTGCAAAAAGCAGCAGAAGAGAAAGAGGCAATCGAAACAGAAAAACGGAAAGCACACAAAGAACGAGAAGAAACAATGCACGCTCTTATGGAAGAATATAAGCTTCGTGATATGGCTATTAGAACAAAGCAAAAACAAGAGGAAAAAGATTTGAAAATTTGGGAGATGATGCAAAGGTTTAAGAGAAACGAATATGACAAACAAACCAAGTTGGAAGAACAGAAGCGACAATGGCAACAGAAATTAGACTACAGAATTGAATTGCAGAAAACTGCTGTAAGAAAGTAGATTTGATAATAATCAAAATTGAACATTTTTAATATAAACATAAATTAACTTTTAGTATAAATTTTTAATATAAACGTAATTAACATAAATCAATGAAAATTTTTAGTATTATATTTTTCATATCGTATGTTAAACTAAATTTTCGAAAATAATTGTTTCTTGTTTTATATTGAATTTTATTATTAAAATATGTTTTTTCAGTGTATTACTTTACAATTTATATTTATAATATACTTTTCCATTTTCAAACTTCTATTTTTTCTATTTAAAATATACTTAAAATAAATTTTTACGGTATTTTCTTTGCAAAATGTATCAAATATATATAAAAAGAGTAATTAGTAATTATATAATGATTGACATTAGGAGGAGAAACAAATCGAAAAAAAGCGCGAGGAAGTTCTTGAAGTCGAAGCTACGAGCATGAAAGCTGTGATCGAGAAGGCCAATCGGAAAATTTTAGCTTATGGCAATGAAGTTTTAAAAGAATCGAAGGGTGTGAGACCACTTTATCCAATCATTAAAGCTGTAGAAGTAAGTTTGAACATAATAATTTTAAATCTATTATAATAACTCAATAATTATAAATAATTTTTAAAAATTATTTTTGTGATTACTAAGGAATGTAAGAAGGAAATGGGATTAATATAAAAAAATCAAAGAAACTATCAAAACAGATCGGCTGAAGAGAAAGTATGGAATCCGCCGTTGTGTTTGCATAAAATTTATGCCGATCAATCAAATATATTGTTTCCAATCATTGTTTGTAATAAACAGCACTAATTTATATCTTCCGTAGTTATATCGTGAGTCATATGCATCATTCGATTATTATGCTATTTATTAGAAATATTTCCGCACCGTCAAACTTATAACTACTCATAAATATAACTACTCATATTTTCTAATTACGAAACTAAGACAAAACTTAGACAAAAATTAATACAAGCACCAATGCAAATATATATTCATTATAATTTATAATATTATATATATGTAATATGCTATAGTGTTCTATGTAGGTATAATAACAGACCAGTACACACTATCATATTTCTTGTCAAAAATATTGTATATTTTTATTTTTTTTCTTTCGATAAAACTTCCAAAAAATTGTTTTTGAAATATCTTATTTTTTACATATATTAATACTATATTTATTTATAAAATTTTGTATTCTGTGTAAATTACCGAGTACTTTATCGATCTATATGACCCTAATTAATATAATTAAATATAACATCCTGCTGATTCATCAAGATAATCAATGTATGCTAGATCAATTAATAAAAAATTAACTTAGTAAAACGGAGATTTGTTTGTTAAATAATTCAAATTTTAAAAATTAAATTTTTATCAATTAATTTTAGGCTTATCTAAGTTTCTGAAAATACTTTTCTTCGTGTGATTAGTTTTTTACAATATGCACTATTTAATTCTTATTTTTATAAATCAATTTTATTTTGGCGCTTCTCCCTCTGCGCAGTATTAATACCCTATTATTATATAATTGATCAAATAAATTTCTCGAATTAGTCTAGAAAAGTTGTTAAGACTTGTGTGAATCACCTTGTATACATATATATCGAATAAGTATCGATAATTTAATGTCATAATGTAAATGTAAATCATCTTATGAAAATGTGTTTAGCAAGTTTCATGAAATTTGACATTTCACAAAGTTTTTAATATATATATTTAAACTTGAGATGAAATTCAAATAGAAGAAAAATATTTTATCTTGAAGAAAAGAAAAACTAATTATTTATATCAAACATATTTATAAATACTTTTATTTCGTCAAATACAATAAGCTATTGACAATGTCGGATAAAGATAGGGAGTCGAAAGAAAAAAGGGCACAACCTATACCACCACTGATGAATTTTTTACTTGGTGGATTTTCTGGGTAATTTGCAATAATTGTAAAGAATTAATAAAATATGACATTTTATTAAATATCCGCTTTTATTTCAGAATGGCGGGAACTTGCGTGGTTCATCCAATGGATGTGATCAAGAACAGAATGCAAATACATAAGGGGAAAACATCGATTTTGAACATAATTAGTACAACATACAAAGAAGGTATCACTTCGTTTTACAGCGGTTTGACAGCTGGTCTCGTGAGACAAGCCACATATACGACTGTACGACTTGGAATTTACAATCAGTTGCAAGATTCTTGGAGGTAAATCATCAAGATATCATCACGAACAAATAAAAAAATTGTTAGAAAAGATATATATAAGATTTATAAATAATGTGAAACTCAAAAAAAGAAATAACATCTGAATGACTTATTACATGCTGTATTATATCAATTACATAATTCAAATAATTTAATTAAACAGTATAATTACAATGATTGTATAATTAAAGTGATATTTGGCTGCATACACATACACACATAATTTTGAAAAAATTAATTGTATTTTATGTACATTTAGACAAACATACGTCACTCGTCCCAATTTCATTGCTTTGATGTTTATGGCTGGGACTGCTGGTGCCGTGGGATCTTTTGTTGGAACACCAGCCGACGTTGCTCTCGTAAGAATGACAACAGATGGTAGATTGCCAGTAGGTAACGATACATTTTTTAACAAAATAATTAGTGCACTAATTTTTATATATATTTTATATTAGAAGAAAAATTTCTTTTATATAAGAGAACTTTTTATTTTTTTAATGCTTAAATGCTCAAATCTATAATTGTTTTTTTATTTTTTAATATTTAGAACAACGGAGAAATTACAAAAATGTGTTCGACGCATTCACCAGAATCGCTAGAGAGGAAGGAGTGTTTACTCTTTGGAGAGGAAGCACGGCTACGATAGGAAGGGCTGTTGTCGTCAACGTTTCGCAGCTAGCAACTTATAGCCAAGTGAAACATTTGATAGCCTCACGAAGTATATATTTAATTAGTTTTTAATATTTTGTAATTCGTATTTTTGATGCTTTGATTTCTTGAATATACATGCATATATATCAACATAAGCTTCGAAAGAGTGTTATAAAAGTTTTTACAGAAATGTTCTTAGACATTTTTTACATATTATTCCATCTTTCTATAATTCACGAAAAATGATTTGCCAATGATTTTTGTAGCGAATGTTAAGGAAGGTATAAGTTTGCATTTTGGCGCATCGATGATATCAGGATTTATCACTACTTTCAATTCCATGCCCTTTGATATTACCAAGACCAGGTTATTATATTAAGTTTTTTGGAGAACTAATCCTTTAAAAAATTGCATAGATTATAATTATTTCATATCTGCAGAATACAAAACATGAAAATTATCGACAAACCTCCAGGTATGATCTCAGTTATGATGTCGATAGCAAAGAATGAGGGAATGGGGTCTCTCTGGAAAGGTTTTTGGCCAACTTACTGCAGAATAGGCCCACATACGGTACTAACTCTTGTTATTAACGAACAATTGATGAACTTATATAAAACATATTCTCAGTAATAATTAAAAATTGTGCAAATTAAAGCTCGTGTATTTATATTTTTATATATTATTATATACATTCAGAATTGTAAATTACATATAAAAATTTTCAAGTTAAATTTTATACGTTTGAAATAATATTGTCACTAATTTAATTAAATAATTGCAAATTTATATATCTGTTATTTTATTTTAATCATTTTGTAATATGCCATTTTTAAGAAATAGTTAACATAGCCACAGATAAGTTTCTTATGAAGCCGAAAAAAATGTAAAATACATTTGATGAAGTTGATCGGCGCACACCATAGTAATTACAGTGTTAGGTGCCGCTCTGTAATAATATGGGAGTAAACCACGCCATAACGTTATTAAGCCTTCTGTTCTAACTATATTAATAATCATAGCAATGATATTAGGTGATTTCGTGGACTGTCTCCAGTTTTGAATCCTATAAGAATAATCGATATATTTAAAGATTCAAAGCACATTATCTTGCATTCGAATTCTATCACACTTTACCTAGTTTTAGCAACGTCCACCGGAATCGAGGCAAAACATGTAATTATACTGGACATCAAGGCAGCAGCAAATTGCAATGATATACCATTTTGAATATATCCTATCATGTTAAAAATATTTATTATTAAATTTCTAATTAAAATCATTGCGCGATTGATAAATTCTTATTAATTATATCATTATTAATTAATTTTCTTCTTTTAAAATGTATTAAAATAGTATAATATCAATTACCTGTGTCTTGCAGCATCATTTTGGCTCTAGTGTAAGTGCCTAATTGTGCTCCATTGACAATTGCTGCTCTGCTCATTGTCGGCACTGCTCCTCTCCACAATGCAGTAAATCCTTCGGTTTTCCATACGTCGAAGATGCCACTGACAGCATTCTTATAATTCTTTCGCTTTTCTAAATATTAATACAAAAATGTATAAAGCAGTTGAAACGTTTATATCTCTTTATTGTCTCAAATCATATAAAAAATAACATAAATGAGAAAAAAGTAAATTACCTGCTGGCAAATTTATGTCAGCTACCATGCGTATCAATATCAAATCTGTAGGGGTACCAATAAAGGAGCCCATCATGCCAGCTATCATCCCAAGACTAATCATCGTTACATAATTTAAATAACCAAAATGTTGTCTAGAAAAAAAGAATATTTAACTGACATTTAAAAACACCACTGAACAATAAATCAATTAATTTATACATGATATATTCAAGATAATTTAACTCTACGAATTACGATTAATTTTTCAACATGTTCAATAATTGCTATATATTACTTTCCCATATCCAACAACGTGGTATAAATTCCAAGTCTACTGGTTGTATAAGTCAATTGACGAAGAACAGCTGCGCTCAATCCCGTATAAAAACTACGAACTCCGTTTGTGCTAAACGTTTGCAATGCTGTATCGTATAAAGTATTACGTGACACTTGCATACGTATTTTAAGAACATCCATAGGATGCGTTACGATCTGAGCTGTCACTCTGTCATTAGCGAAATAAAATTGTCATGGATTACGAAAATATTTATTCTATTATATATTTGTGCATCGAGAGAGTCGGAAATAATATTGATTATTATTATTACAGGAAATATAAATGTTTTTACCCCGATATGCCACCTATTACAAAGTTGACAAATGTCGGCACTTTGGCGTCTTGAATCGACGCTGACATTGATGCATTCTCTTTTTCATGCTAGCTTATAATCTTTCGATAACGAAGTCTTTAATAAAATTTTTTAAATATCATAATATTATAATAAGTTTCAACTTGCTATTTTAATTTTCATATCTCTCTTGTATGAATATAGCTTTATATCATATCCCTTTCTAAAAAAGGCAGTTAACTGCGTGAATTCAATTTGTATCGAAATTTTGAAACCTCTTTTCCGCGACGCTGATTGGTTGTCTCGAAGTTTGTTTCGCAGCTTGAATCACAACCAAAATATGACAGATCTACTTTGAAACATTCTAAAAGAAAAACATGTAACAATATAACGAAAGTTTATATCATAAAAAAATTAAGTATGATTGAAAGCTAAATTTATGTGAAAATGTTGAATAGTTCTTCTCTTCATTATAAATCTAACATTTTCGAAAAATTTTACTTCGTAAATTTTTTCCGCACAAATTACAGATTATTTTTTATTTCTGAATTTTCATTGTGTACATAATTTTAATTATTGAATTTTCATTATGTTTTAAATTTTGATTTGCCAAATTTCTATTATGTACATAATTTGTATTCTTCAATTTTTATTATATGATTATAATTTTAATTCGCCGAATTCCTATAATGTACATAATTTTAATACCTGAATTTCCATTATGTAAATAATTTTAATTCCCGAAGTTTTATTATGTACATAATATTAATTGATCGAATTTCTATTATGTACAATTTCAATTATTTACATAATAGAAATACGGCGAATTAAAATTATGTATATATAATAAAAAATGAAAAATTAAAATTGTGTGCATAATAGAAATTCGACGAATTAAAATTATGTACATAATAGAAAATCGGGAATTAAAATTATGTATTCCCTCATAATAAAATTATGTACATAATTGATAATTCGGCGAATTAAAATTATGTACATTTGTTAATTATATATTATTTATTATTTACGCGTTGAAAATTCCCGCGCGTAGTACTACATGAAATCGGCCGATTGTGACGTGGCGTCACGACGCCACGCACTTCCGCCAGCGCCGCCATTAGTCAGTGCGAGTCCAACGGCGGTGGAGTGAAGGTGCGTCGCGAATGCTCCGCGTCTGTTTGGATTCCGTGCGCGAGTAACGCGAAAAAACGGGAGTGCAGTCCGGGAGTGTCGTGTTTCGACGCGATAACCGAATAATCTCGTCGAAGAGCATCCGGGCGTCGACGGGGACCCGGTTGTCTCGGAGGATCGCGAGTTGATGGGCGAGGGGAAAGGAGAAGGACGTTCAGTTAGAGATTCTCGCGCATATTTCGGCCCTATTCGCTCGCCAGAGAGCCTCACGAAAATTTGGTATCGTCCCGAAGGGTATCCCGGCGTCGACGGGTGTCCAAAAGTATCGGAACATCGCGAATTCGTGGGAGCAAGCTAGTGGGGGGAAAGGGGACCGCCGCTTGAGATATTGTTTCCGACTGTATTTTGACTACAATTCGCCATATACAGTAACACTCGTGCGATATTTTGACATTATCAGCTCGACGAGGAGCTTCCGCGAGTGCTCAAGCATCTCCAGGGTGCCCGGGTGTCGGAGAAAGTGTACGAAAAGCTGAAATCATTGAAATCGGAAATTCAAATTCTGGAGACCGTTGCTGTGAGAATTGTGGTACCGAGATCATTCGCGTAACCGTCGGTGGCGCGCAAGTGTTACATCGCCATGACACGTCGATCACTTCGCAATGTCACGTAACGCCGCGGCGCGCCGAGAGATGTCGCGATAGTACACTTTTATGGATGTATCGAGTTATTGGGTATTTCGATGCGTTTAATGTGATTAATATTCGGACGCTCGCTTTCACGAAATCGGAAATGTATATTTTTTCAACAGATATTTTCTTCGTGTCTTTATTCGAGAATGCGATATCGAACGTGATCGAATGGAATCGAAAGTGCCGAATACATTCACGAGTGATCTTATTTTTTTTCGTATCGTGCGTTCATTTCGAAGTGCATCTGTGTGTAGTGAAGTGTGATAAATAAATATAAAATAATAGAAAAAAACAGTGCAGTGAGCAGTGCCAACCATATAGGATTATAGCAGAGCAGCAGTGGAACATTAAAGTGGATACATCAAAGCAGAGCAGGTTTAGATGATCGACTGAACGCAATGTGAGTTATTTTTGGTTATGTTACACTGTAAGGAAAATGATTCACTTAAATGCAGAGCATTAAACATTTTTTTTTTCTTTTCTGGGAGGGAATTACTGCACAGCGACTATCTCTTTTTTAATTAATTAATATTAAATTCAATTATTCAATTAATTAATATTAAAAACTAACAATAGGAAAAATAAAACTAACACGAGAAAAAATAAAACTAACTTGAGGAAAAATAATACTAATGTCAAGAAATATATAATTAATATTAGAAATAATAACAATTATAATATCAGGAAAAACAATACCAATCTTAAAAGAAATAATATAATAATAAAAAAAATAAAACTAATATTATAAAAAATAATACTAATATTAGAAAAAATGTATTTTAGCTAAGTTCTAATATATATTCAAAGTTAATAATTAAGAAATAGCAAGCGCATAGCTCAAAATAATAGTTCCCGTATTAAAAAATTATTCTTTAAAGTCAAGTGGCACATCTAAATATGTACATAACTAAAAACACAACATTTGCAACGGCGAATAAGTCTTCAAACGGTGATAGATCGATATCGATCTTGAAATAAAAAATTTAATAACAAACCAGCTTCAAAACATCTCAAATTTACATGCTCAGTCGTGTTTAGAATCGCTTCTTGTGATTTGCAACATTTGCATTCGAATGTTACATCGATGTACAAAGCAGAATTTAAAAATCTTGAAATTTGAAAAAATTCATCTCTGACAATTTTGTTTAAACTGCTGTATTTTTTAAAGTGTGCAACTACAAGAGAAACGAAATTTACTTCACACATCTATAATAGATTCTTAATAAGACTGCTGATTTGGATTTGCGTTATTTTCAATTTGGGGAAAAACTTGAACTTTTGATTTTTCGATTGACGACGCGAGCGATCGACGTACTATCATTTTCGGTATTAAAAAAATTAATTCCTTATAGTCAGCTGTCAAATTCACATTAATATATATTAAAAACACATTTTCAAGTGTGTTCAAAGTCTTTAAGCGAAGATAGATCGATTTCGATGTGCAAGCGAAAAATTTAAAAAGTGACAAGCTTTAAGATATGTGAAATATACATGCTCAGTCGTGTTTAGAATCGTTTCTTGTGGTTCGGGACATTCGCCTTCGAATGTTACATCGATGTAGAAAGCAGAATTTAAAAATCTTGAAATTTGAAAAAATTCATTTTCGACAGTTTTGTTTAAACTGCTGTATTTTTTAAAGTGTGCGACTTAAAGCGAAACGAAATTCAGTTCACACATCTATAAACGATTCTTAATAAGACTGCTGATTTGGATTTGCGTTATTTTCAATTTGAAAAAATTTATTTTGACAGTTTTGTTTAAACTGCTGTATTTTTTAAAGTGTGCGACTTAAAGCGAAACGAAATTCAGTTCACATATCTATAAACGATTGTTAATAAGACTGCTGATTTGGATTTGCGTTATTTTCAATTTGAAAAAATTATTTTTGATTTTGTTTAAACGTTTTTTTTTATTAAACGTCACTTCAATTTTATTAATAAAACTGCATTTGGAGTGCGTTACAATTTGCGAAATTTATTTTTCGATTTGTTTAAGCTGTAAAATTTAAAAGTGACGACTTTAAGCGAAACGAAATTCAGTTCACATGTTTAAACGATTCTTAATAAGACTGCTGATTTGGATTTGCGTTATTTTCAATTTGAAAAAATTCATTTTTGACAGTTTTGTTTAAACTGCTGTATTTTTTAAAGTGTGCGACTTAAAGCGAAACGAAATTCAGTTCACACATCTATAAACGATTCTTAATAAGACTGCTGATTTAGATTTGCGTTATTTTCAATTTGAAAAAATTTATTTTTGACAGTTTTGTTTAAACTGCTGTATTTTTTAAAGTGTGCGACTTAAAGCGAAACGAAATTCAGTTCACATATCTATAAACGATTCTTAATAAGACTGCTGATTTGGATTTGCGTTATTTTCAATTTGAAAAAATTTATTTTTGACAGTTTTGTTTAAACTGCTGTATTTTTTAAAGTGTGCGACTTAAAGCGAAACGAAATTCAGTTCACATATCTATAAACGATTCTTAATAAGACTGCTGATTTGGATTTGCGTTATTTTCAATTTGAAAAAATTTATTTTGACAGTTTTGTTTAAACTGCTGTATTTTTAAAGTGTGCGACTTAAAGCGAAACGAAATTCAGTTCACATATCTATAAACGATTCTTAATAAGACTGCTGATTTGGATTTGCGTTATTTTCAATTTGAAAAAATTTATTTTTGACAGTTTTGTTTAAACTGCTGTATTTTTTAAAGTGTGCGACTTAAAGCGAAACGAAATTCAGTTCACATATCTATAAACGATTCTTAATAAGACTGCTGATTTGATTTGCGTTATTTTCAATTTGAAAAAATTCATTTTTGACAGTTTTGTTTAAACTGCTGTATTTTTTAAAGTGTGCGACTTAAAGCGAAACGAAATTCAGTTCACATATCTATAAACGATTCTTAATAAGACTGCTGATTTGGATTTGCGTTATTTTCAATTTGAAAAAATTTATTTTTGACAGTTTTGTTTAAACTGCTGTATTTTTTAAAGTGTGCGACTTAAAGCGAAACGAAATTCAGTTCACATATCTATAAACGATTCTTAATAAGACTGCTGATT